ACCGGCAAGGCAGTACTAGATGCCACCATCAAGACTGCCGAGTTGTACTTTCAGGCTCTTCGCCTCGCTGACAAGCCTTCAGACAAGCAGAGGCTCGACACCAGGTTCAACGAACTCCTAGCGCGGGCCGAGCGGCTCAAGGCAGCCCAGAATGAACAGAACATACTGGTCCCTGCGGCAGGATCGAGAGAGCTCCTCGAACCCCCTGTTTCGCGCCGCGAGCTCACGACGCGAGAGAAAATAATACTCCTGGAGGGTGGTAAACTGAATGGTTTCAAGTTCACTCCTTGGACGGCTCCACCATCCTCGGGTGAATTTGCCCTTCATGATGGCGACGCTTTATTCACAGACTCGAGGTCGCTGCCTCTGTCCACGGCGCAGCTTGAATCGTTTGATGGTTGGAAACGACCGCAGCAAGCACTTCCGTCAGTTCACTGCGACCCCAGTGGACATAATGGTATTGACGCGGCCGTCATGTATTTGCCTGAGCCTATGGACCTCGTGCAAGACATGACATCGGACTGTTCAGTGGTTGCGAGCCTGTGTGCTCTATCCTCCAGGGTAGAGCGTGGGTTTCCAAAGGTAGGATAGGAGCTTTGACAGCCCAGCTCGTTACTAACCCTCACTCAGATCCTGCGAAGTGTAGTGCATCCTTTCAACTATGAGACTGATCGAATGATTCTGTCGCCTAATGGAAAATACATTCTCAAATTATATTTCAATGGTTGCTGGAGAAGGGTCGAGATTGACGACTATTTACCATCCTCCAAGACTACCCGAGTTCTTCATGTGATTGATCGCCGCCATCCTAAGTTACTATGGCCAGCCCTGGTTGAGAAAGCATATCTAAAAGTTCGTGGCGGTTACGACTTTCCTGGGAGCAACTCTGGGACAGATCTCGCCGTGCTTACCGGGTGGATTCCTCAACAAGTCTTTCTCCACGACGAGGATGTCGAACCAGACCTCTTATGGGAGGAGATCATTACTCAGTTTCGAAGAGGAAATGTTCTCGTCACCATTGGAACTGGCAAATTACCCCGCCGGGAGCAAAGACACCTCGGTCTCGCAGCGGAACATGACTACGCAGTCTTGGACATGTCTACTAACGCTCATGCCAAAGAGATGCTCGTCAAAAACCCCTGGGCTGACGGAGATGTATGGCGGGGGGCGGCAAGGCGCCGACCGCATCGAAATGATGAAGAATCTCCAATTGACACGCCTGAAAACGAAGAGATGATGCCTGGCACCTTCTGGATGGACTTCAACAGCGTGTTCCAATATTTTGAGAATATGTATCTCAACTGGAACCCTGCGTTGTTTTCTTATCGAGAAGACCTTCACTTTTCGTGGGATCAGGCTAATGCCACGCCAACCGCCAGCTTGATCGTCAACAATCCCCAATTCGCAGTGGCAGCTTCTAGTACAGGCGAAATCTGGTTGTTACTACAGCGGCATTTTCGAACAGGAGACTACACGCAAGAGACGACAAAAGAAAACGGATATATCGGCCTCTCCTTGTATTTTTCTGACGGCAATAGAGTTATATCGAGTGAAGGGGCAAAAATACGGGGACCATTTGTGGACTCTCCCAATACCCTGTTGAGGTTCAAAGCTACTGCTCAATCGGGCTATACTGCAGTTTTGGTATCACAGGGCCTTCCTCTTGGGAAGATGAACTTTACAATCTCGGCTTTGTCGAAACATCCAGTAGCACTGTCGGAAGCACGACTGCCATATCCCCAGAAATTCAGCCTCAGTTCCGCGTGGACCAGGTCAAACGCTGGAGGAAACTCGGACTCAGCAAACTACTTGTCCAATCCCCAATTTCGAATGACCCTGTCCACTGCGCAGAGGATTGCATTAGTTCTGAGGATTGTGGGATCGGTCAAGCCTATCGCTGCAGCAGAACCCGATGTCAACGTCAAAATCCTGGTACTCTTCAGCAACGGGTCAAGGATTACCCGCCTTCGCCCGCGGGATGTTCTCGCGCACTCTGGAGACTACCGACGTGGGAGTGCTGTTGTTGAAACCAAGCTAGGACCTGGTACCTATACGATTATCTGCTCTACATTTGATGAGGGTCAATTTGCGGATTTCTTCCTCGATCTGTACTCGTCTGCGGGCGAGAGTATAACTTTGAATCAACTGCCAGCGGAAGGTGCTGGGCGATTGAGCATCAAAAGTAGTCCAGCAGTGTTCCACAGTTCCACAGATCGCCTGCTCGCGCCGCTTACGGTGTCGAGGCTATCTCGGATCTCGTTCGTTGCGCGATACGAAATCGTCACCACTGCACGAGCGCACTCCTCCCTCTTCAAAATGACACTCGAGCGAGGTCAAGGGCCGTACAAGGACATTCTCGCGACGAGCGAGATCGACAACGAGGAATTCAGCAGTATCTCTTCAGGTCTTCGGATTATCGATATCGATCTGCACCCGTCGCTGTGCGGGCCTGGCTCTAGTGGTCTCTGGCTTGTTCTCGAGCGACTGCCGCAAGGTGGTCAGAGCGATGGAGAGGACGGGGTCACCGAGAAGAGCGATGAGATTTTGCACGTCGAAATGTTTACGGATGAGAGGGTTGAGCTGGGCGCCTGGGGCCTGGGAGATGGTTGATCGAGGGCGCAATTCATGAAAGAATGGGGCGTTGGCTTTGTGGCAACCAGTGGGATCTGGACAGCAACATTGGTATAAGCAAGCAGTTGGCGTCTAAAACCCGGCTGGGCTGGCCGTTGGATCCTTTGCAACATTTTTATTCATTTTTACCCCTTAAAGTCTGTATACAAATTGAAAGTTCCTAGGTATTTAATACAGATTGCAAAACAGTCAACAGGAAACGCCCCCATTGTCACTCTGTCCAGAAGGTAAAATCCTCTGGGTACACACTGAGCACACAGATATGTTTGCTGTCTCTCGAGCCACGCCACAAATGCGTCGTCACATTTCTCCCCGTTTGTGGTTCGTGAAACCTCGGAAACCACGACCTAGCTTAGGTGGCCTGCTTCATGATCAAACTCTTGAGTCCGGGCACGACGCCCGAGCCCACGACCTTCATGCCCAGGCCCCGCGCGGTGCCGACCAGCCTGCTCAACATGCTGCCGTCTCCGGCACTGCCCATCTGGTAGAGCCAGTTGAGGGCGTCGACGCCGCCGGCCATGACGAGGCCCTTGCCGAATCGAGCGGCGTTGTAGCGCTCCAGGGCGAAGGCGTCGCCAATGTCCATGCCGTGCTCGACGGCGTAGGCGACCGCGTCGGCGAGTGCGGCGGCGTCACCGAGGCCGAGGTTCAATCCCTGCCCCGCGAGCGGGTGGACGGTGTGCGCGGCGTCGCCGATCAGGGCGACCCGCGGCCCGGTGAGGGACGTCGCGTGGCGCAGGCGCAGCGGGAACGACGCGAGCGTCTTCTCCTGCACGCCGGTGATGATGGGCGGGGCGCGCGCGGTCGGCGGAGGCTGCGTGTGTTGGAGTCGCCAGCGGAGTTCGTCCTCGTGTTGTGCCGCCGCATCCTCGGCGCATGGCAGGCTGAACATGTACTTGATGTCCGTTTGCGACAGCCTCAGCGCGGCGTTGATCATCGCCAGCTGCGCCGCAGGTGGCAGGGACTTCAAGTATGCGGCGTTGGCGGGCGTCGTGGACCACACCAGCGATGCGTGGTTGTTTGGGAGAGGCAGGATGGCGATCGGTCCGCCGAGCTCGGGAAGGAAGCGTTGGTATGCGGTTGCGCGGTTGCCGAGAGGTTCCTCGGAGAAGAGGTCAAAGTCGTCAGCGTTGAGGCTGTCGTCGGCCGGTTGCACCGTGAGTGTAGCGACTACGCCGTGCCGGTTGTAGTCCCAGCCGTGGGATGCGATGCCCGCGAAGGTGCGCACGGGCGAGTTGAAGCCGTCGGCGCCGACAAGGAGGCGGGCTGCTATGGTAGATAGATGTTGTGACGAAGGCGAGGATGGGGAAGGCGTCTTTGGTTCGAGGGCAAGAACCGGCCAGGTGGACAGGTTGAGCCCGTTGGGATCGTCTTCGCCGTTCGTGATGGACGAGACGCTAGTGTTGGAGAACAGCGACGATTCCGCGCCGAGCTGGGCGATCCGCTCGAGGAGACCTCTCGTCAGATTTGCGTTCTCGGTCATCGTCGCCACGGTGCTCGGAGGTGCGTTGTATTTGCTGGTCTCGGCCGTCCAGTCGAATTGCAGAGTTGCGTCGTTCGCAGCGTCCCAGACTTGCATCTCATCGTAAGCTTGAACGCGAGACTGGTCGACATGTCCCCATGCACCCGTCGTCTCGAGAAACGAGACAGACGAGGGCGTCAGGCTGCTGGCGCGATTCGAGTATTTATCTTCCGGTAGACTCCATTGACGGAGCTTGGGCAGATCTTGGGTCTCGATCAGGGCCGTTTTCAGATGTGATGTTATGGGCGACGACTCTGTAAGAAGGTTAGCTGTCGTCCCCTCGGTGACGACCAGGCAGGGGGGAAACAACGAACTTAACGCTGCTTGGAGAGCCAGGCCAGCTGGTCCGCCACCAACTGTCACGATGTCGAAGATCTCGGGGGCTGATGATGCTTTAGTGGATGCGAATCGTCTCCGTCTGCTTGAGGTCAGGCTTTTCCGGCATTGGATGCAAACGAAGCGCGTGTCGGCAAGAGACAATTTCGCCGGCATCTTGATGAGGCTCTGCGCGTTCGTGTTGTCGGAAGCTTACAGGAATCAATGTATCCGAGGATTCACCATCGCTGATTCTGTGGATGTGATGGAAGGATGAAGCCAGGGAAGCAAGTGTTGAGGTGAGAGAAACTAATCTTTGAGCCAATCACGATCGACTCTCGGCAGCCTTGCTCAGCCTCGTCACACCATTTACCAACGAGGCTGGAGACGCCAGTATCTTCGATAGCAGGATACAAGTATATACACAATATGGACCTGTAATTACTAGACTCCACACCACTGACCCTGATAGTCAGTCACCAGTGTCCTGACATGTATTTGCAGGTCCAATCGAAATTGTCTCTAAATTTTCTCAATGTCGATGGGTGAATCCCAAGGGACCTTGAGCATAGCGGCCGTTCACATAATACAAACAGACATCCGTGTCACCCACGCCATCCAATCTATCGTAAACATGCTCGACTTCGCCAAAAACCACCATATGGTCTCCAATTTCCACTGCCTTTTCGGGCAGGTACCGGCACCTGATCTGAAATTTTGGGAAATATTGAATGATAGGAGGTGAGTTGGGTCGGAATGCTGGCACTGTATCAGAGCGCCACCGCGCGAACGAAGCCAGTGTTCCATCTCTCCGGTGAAAAGGCGAAGAGGCGTTGCCGCGCGCAAATTTCTCAGCGATTTTTTGTCCCATCTGATCGCAGAGAAACAGATGCACGTTGAAAAGGCCCGAAGTTTTGATGGCCTCATATGTTGACGACAGCTGCTTGATATTGAAAGAAACAATCGGCGTCGGATCTAATGTTACAGTGTTGAAGGAAGATACGGTTGCTCCTCGCCATGCAGAAGGATCACCATTGGTGCTGATAGATATGTCGGTCGAGGTAATAACGGCAACGGGATGGGGGACGTGGCGCATTAATCCCTTGACCCTCTCGTGAAGAGACATTTCCCACCTCACCTGCGACTGGGCATGCTGGGCTCCCTGACTTGTTGGACTTTCGGACTTTGCGGAAATGGTTCCGGAGTCGACCTTTCGAACTTGGATTGAATCATTCAATGATTCTGAATCTGCCTCGAGACCAGCTTTTGTGGCTTTAGAACCTTGATTGGTTGTTTTCGAGCTCAGTCGCCTGGTAAGGTGTCGGGAATTTGTCGTCTTTGAGTTAGTCGGTGGCTGAGGACATGTTCTCGTCAAGTTTTGGCGTTGACAGAGGCTGACATTTTCACGCAAGAAAGAGAAGTTGCGCCGACAGCCGCGACAGACTGTTTGAAACCCGATCACTTAGTAGTGTCAACAGGAGAAATAAAAGAAGGCGCCGTTGTGCTCTTACGATGTACAGTCCCTCTTTTGGCCAGGAGTGAGCAGATAGAGGTTAATGCTGGTAGATTGCCCGAGACACGTAGAGGGCTCATGGCAATGACTGGAGAGGGACAAGGGGCCGACGCCTTGCCATCAGATAGAAATTCTTATGATATACATATCTTCCAGTCATGAATCTAGAACCCAAACTGGATACATCGGGGAATAATTGGCGACAGACAATTCCAACAAGTTGGTTACTGGGTTGGAAGCTCGTCTCCCCTGGAGAAAATGAAATCTCTTGGCATATTTTCCACGTTTGTGCACCAAACGCCTTTGTCGACAGCCTCACACCTTCGCAGCTGTAATCAACTGGCCTCTGTTCCCATCAACACAATGAAAAGGTGAAGCTGTCCCGTACTCCGGCTATGCAAGTGAGGCAGTTGATCAACTCCCCGTACTTAACCCGTCTGAGGAAGACATCGCCGAGGAGAAGATGTCCTCAGCAGGTCTATCAAACACCAGGCCAATCCACATGACCGAGTCCATCATGTCACGAAATCCAGTCCATGAATCAATTCCATATCGTTTGATGGTGGATTTCAGCCAAGGACTCAGCCAAATATCACTAGTGTCTTCGAGCACTGTAATACGGCCAACTACAAGAAGCCAAAGTAACAGCGGCCGCCATTTGTCGTCCAAGGTGTCAAGGCCAGCAAGAGCTTGTTGGTAGGCAGAGGACAATGTTGTCCTTCGTACCCTGAAATCTGGCAGCTGTAAGAAGACTTGCGAGGAGAAAGCCAATAGACCGAGCCGGATAGCTGCGTCAAGCGAACCAGTCGCAAAGCTCATGTGGAGAAGGCGATACATAACTGAGGCAGTTGCTTCGAGCAGAAATTCTTCCGAGAGCTTGCGTTTAGTCCTGGCGGCGCGGTTGATCTGGAGGCAAAATCCCTTCAGAGCTCTCCAGACAGTGGCCAGATCTTTGTCGATCACGTTGAGGAATCGCTCATGGTAAAGCCTGCAAGTTGTTGCGTCGGTCGATTCTGGAACGGATACCAACATTAGGTGCGGAAATGGCCTATAGGCCTCACCAGAAGAGCAAGCCGAGAAGAATGTAGGCGTGAGGCCGGTTTCGATTGCCAGTCCGATGTCGCATCTGTGCAACTAATCAGCATTTTACCAGACAAGAAAATCCGTGAGCAAAGTTGTCAGAACGGTGCAGGGTTTCATACCTAAAGATCTCGATGGCGAGTCTCGTCTTAAGCAAAATGGTCTCAATGCCTCCTCTGAGATTGATCATCATGCAAAGGCCTTCCATGTGACGCTTTGCGGTGTCATAGTCTCCAATCATACGAGCGTGAAGTGCGAGGGCAATAACCACCATCATAGTGGGAAGGGCAATTTTCAGGTCCTCATCTGTCGAGTCTAGTCGCTCGCGTAGCAGCTGAAGTGCCTTTGAGAAATGTGGAGATGTGCCATGGGGGGCTTTCTGATCTTCACGACCTCGCATTAGTTCAATGTATGCATGAGTTCCCAACGCAGTGGCGTGAAGGAAGGCTGCATCGGACGCCATGGGGCCGACCAGCACCCTCTCTCTTTTGATGAAGGCAATGCATGGCGCCAATGGAACAGTGGCTTGCCTTGCGAGAGAAGCATCTGCATTCCGCTTGCTGTCAGTCCTCTAGCTTCAAGCAGGAATCCACAGGAGCAAGATGAGACATACAAGTCAGAATATCGGTGATTGCGGACGGCTCAATCTCGTCTGCCAGCTGGGTGAATGACCACTCGGACCCAACCTTTTTCGGGATAATCGAGGATGATTGTTGTATTGGTACTTTGCCACCAGTTGAGGAATCCCACGCCGGTTCCGCCTCCCAGGGCAGGGTATCTTTCGGTCTGGCCCGCCGAGACTTCCCCAAATTCTTGCCTAACATCACATGGCTCCGTATGAGCTTGCGTGTCTGTGCATCATTTTTCTTCGTCGTCCCCGCGGACACGATAAATGGCATGCCTGCTGTCAAACGGGATGTCAGCATCAGGACCCATGGGTCTAGATGAACCGCTTTGTTGATTGCCCCAAGGACTTACGCGACGGGATTGCTTGAGGCATTATGGAGGCCTTTGCACAGTCAATGCACGGGAGACGTCAAGTCCGTCAAGAATTTGCCCTGATCGAGGCTGCCTGGTTTAGGTGCCAGTCGACGAGGTGGACTTTGCCAAAGCGAGGCTGTATTGCTTTCTCTTTCTGGCTAGGGTCAATAACTCCGTTGCAGAGAAGATTCTGCATGGTCAATAGGCATCCAACTCGATTGCGAGGCTTTTTCGAGCTGGGATGGCGCAACCTGCTGTTCATTGTTTGAGGTTTGTTTCCAGGCGGAGAATCTAATGCACATATTATTTGCCATTTCCGGTTTAGACTGGGAAGGCTAAACCCTTTTGGATCAAGGGAACCCGACTATCCAGCCTTATCAGGACAATCCCATGGCAATGTCCGGCCAAATGATATTGACCTGGTACTAGTCAGTTGGATGGTTGACTTTTCCCCAACCTATGAAGCGGCATGTTGTCAACTCGGCGCCGAACGGTTTCTTGTGTGAGGTGCACAATGGTACATCCACCTATATATATGACCCGAGAAGCACAGTCTCTGCTGTCACTGGTGCAGTCTGTCCATTCCAGGATCCTACTCTTCGATCACACATTTGTCAAGTCCAATTCAACGAGGACCAGCTCACGATGCCTTCCTCTCGGGACCTGCCCCCTATAACAACTCCATTCTTTCCAAGGCTCTTCTACAGAAACCAGTTTGTCGCCAAACCTCAGCGGCCGCCAAAGGGCACCGACCTCTCGGGGCAGGTTGTAATTATCACAGGAGGCAATACAGGTATATTTCCCCGATATGGACCACAATATTTCGTGGGGAGACATGGCCATCGTGGTTTTGAGTAGTGTTGACATCTGCTAACACAAGTTGTCCAGGTTTGGGTTTGGAGAGCGCCCGTCAACTGCTCTCTCTCAATCTCTCACGTCTGATTCTCGCAGTCCGTTCTAGTCAGAGAGGGGCGGAAGCAGCAAAAAATCTCCATGCCACCTATCCACGAGCGACCATCGACGTTTGGCAATTGGACATGGCCTCCTATGATTCAATCCAGGCATTTGTTCAACGCGCAGAGAACGAGCTGACACGCCTCGATATCATCATTCTCAATGCTGGCAGATGGACGTACAATTTCACCAAGTTGCCTACTACCGGTCACGAGGAGATCTTCCAGATAAACTACCTTTCGACCGTTTTCCTTGCTATCTTGATGCTTCCCGTTTTGAAAAGCAAAGCTTCAGCGGGAAAGCCAGGCCGCTTGACCATCGTCAATGCTGCGCTGTCCCTGACCGCGAAATTCCCGACCAAGGACAGAACCCCTTTGCTCCCTTCATTCGATGATCCAAAGGCATTCAACATCAGCGAGACGTACAACACGTCCAAGGTGCTGGCGCACATGTTCCTCTGGAAACTCGTCGACTATGTCTCGGCTGACGACGTCGTCGTGAACCTCGTGGACCCTGGCTTTGTCAAAGGAACACGACTCGCGCGGGATGCACCGAGGATTATGGTGGCTCTCGGTCAGATATTTGCTGCACTCACCGCCAGAAGTACCCGCGATGGTGCCTCGACGTATGTCGATGCCTGTCTGCTCAAAGGGAAGGAGTCTCACGGATGCTTCATAATGGGCTGGCAGATCAAACCGTAAGTTGCTCATGATTATCCCGGTCTACTGTGTTATTGTCTTGCTAAACAGGGTTGCCTGTCAAGGTTTGCGACCATGTTGTACACGCCCGAAGGGAAAGCTGTTACCGATAAGCTGTGGCGGGAAACAGTCGATGAATTGAGCTTTGCCAGGGTGCAAGACATCCTGGAGTCAATGAAGAGACATTGATCTCCTTCTTCAGCGGGATCAAAAAGGGGGTGCATCTGTTTGGCTGTTGTTAGGAAAGAGGGCGCCAGAAGGACTGTGGAGGAATTCTCATGCATATTCGACAAGCTTTTGCTTCTCTTAACCTTGGATTCTAATCCAACACAATTATTTATCTGGGTGTAGCATTCACAAATAGCGATTAGTCTTCGTGGACTCCTACGAAACTTGTCCCCGTGCTGCTGACACACGGCGAGAAATCCGAGATACTCGGCATTTGATCATCTCAGTGCTGGTGGTCATCTCCACCACCATAGCCGATCTTTGCGACACCGAAGCAGCATCAGTCTCATCAGTCACAACTCTCCACCATATAAGGCTTTTCCCGTAGCTCTTGACCAATACAACGAACGTCCAGACATTGTGCTCTGCGACAAAGCCATCAAGAGGACGCCCGAACCCGAAACCCGCCTGCACTAGCGAAGACCCGAGCAGGAACAATATACATCATGCAGGACATCGAAGAGGCTACTGTCACTTTTCGCAAGTCCAACTTGACGACCAAGTGGTTGGCAAAGGATCGCTTAACACTCCTTCAATTGGCAGAAAAGTCTGGGCTGAAGCCTGACTACGGTTGTCGGTCTGGTGCGTGTGGAACATGTGAAGTCAAGCTCTTGAAGGGGACCATCGATGGTATCTTGGAGGGAGACGATGGCGTCCTCATATGCAGCTCTGTCCCGGCAAGCGTTGAGGTGGAACTTGAACTTTGAAGCGGCACCTTCGTATGTGGAGGGAAGCAATTGCCGCAGCCTTTGACAGAGAGCTCGTCTCAAGGCCAGGAAGCGCAGGATCTTCGGGCTCGTGGAGAGGTCAGGAACGAATGTTTGGCTGCGGGCCTCATGTCTCGTTCACGCGTGGTCGGGCAGGGAGAGTAACTCGGTAGACAGACAGGCCTGGGGTTGCCCTGTGAATTCAGGGGAAGGAGAAAGCCGATGAGATTGGAACTGACGGTTGCAGGGAGCAAGTATGGCGATGACTGCGAGGATCATCACTACATGAACAACAACAGACGGACAACTGATTGAGACGTCCACCTGGCATCAGTCAGAACAGACAGCACTGTTTCTGCCTTGGCCCAAACCTCAGCCACCTCTTATCCCCTTCTCAACCGCACCTGGTCAGGGCGTGAGAATATTCTCAGTTGTTTCCTCACCCTACCTACTCTAGGTCTAGATACAGAGAGACAGAGAGAGAGAGAGAGTCCTTCTTTCCCACTTCCAACTTCTAGACTCTCCTCTGTGGCACGGACCTTACGCCGTCCCTGGGTGCCTGCTCCCCTAGAGTCAACGGTCACGTATGTTTAATCACTACGATGACCCAAAACAACCTGTCCTGAAACACATTGTCACTGCAGCGCCTTGACTTTCTCCACGGACTGGAGCCTTTCAGCACTTCTGTCTCATTGTTTTATCCACATGAGTATCAGCTTAACCGACGATGCCCTTCCCCAGCCTGCGGCGGCGAACCGTCAACGAGGCAACCCAGCTGCCAGACGAGCACAAGTCTCCTTCGCCCTCACCATCACCAAGAGCTCGCTCAGCCACCGTCCCTGGCCTTACCCCCCGCAAAAGCTTGTCATCTCTCATCGACTCGGTCAGGAAGAGAGGAAATCCAAGGTAAGTCAAGACTGTGTAAGGTCAAGCAGCCGCTGACAAGATCCACAGTCCCTTGCCAACCAGATCCCACCATGATGCCCTCGAGCAGGAACTATACTCCGTCTACGATGCCTCGAATCCTGACCACGACCCTGATCGAGCCGGTCGAAGTCCCTCAGCAACAGACAAAGACAAGCGCTACTATCGGACACCAAGCCCTCATCCTCTCAAAATGTCAGCCGCGTCTTCTCTCTCAAGATTGTCCAAACTCAATCGTGGCACCCCCAGCGGCAGAAGTTCAGACCTTTCCCAGGCAGGATCACCCCCCAAAACTTTCCTCGAAACGCTAGCAGACGCTATCCGAGCCCCAACTTCATTATTCTACAAGGAGAATAAGAGCAGCTCAAAGACGGAGGACAGCAACACCTGGATCAGCAAGCCTCCGTCCCCGGCAAAGAGTACCAGTCCGAAGAAATCTGTCAGATTCAAGCCCGGAAAATCAATCATCGAGGATGAACCGAGGTCTTCTCCCATCGACATTCCCAGAGCAACGCCCTCTCTGCCTCCTGTTCAGCTCGCGAGCACGCCGCTCTTGCAATGCTTCGGGAATGACCATCCACATCTCATCCCCACCGGCAGGCCTCCTCCTCCGCGAGTACTGGATTCCACCATCAACTTCCGCCAGGCGATGGCTGCTGCCCAGACTTCCATCACTGAGGACGAGCTACGGGATGTCTTCTCAGTCGGCACCCCAGCGTCAGAACTTACAGTGCCCTTGCCTGGTGTGAATATCTCAGTGGAGAATCGGTTGAGCGAAGCAAGGGATGGACGTGAGATGGAATATCAACAGGGTATGCTTCAAGAGTACGATAACCAGTTTTCCAGCAAAGAACTGGAGCCTTGCCGATCTGCAGACATTGTCATTGAGACAGACTTTGTCGCCAACAATGAACGAGTCCAAGATTTACCTGCAGGCAATTACGTCGAAACCATAATGGCAACCACTGGACCACATTTCGCCTCCGATCCATGCCAATATGATGGGAGCCCAAGGGAGTCCATATCCTCCAACGACAGCAGTCATGATGTCGTATTCCCTGGGCTTGCAAACACTCTCGTCGCTACATCGGATGTTGAACTCGAGGAGACCGCCACCGTTAAAGACAGTACGGAGTCGGATTGCTCTGATGGACCATCACTCATCTTGGCGCGTTCGACATTGATGACTGCTGAAGGCGAGGACATATGGCAAGGAAATCCAACCCATGAAGACATTCGTCTCCGTTTTAAGCACCCGGAATGCTATGGGCCCATAGATTCTCGTGATTCTCGTGATATGGACAGCGCCTCGGGCTTGAATGCAGACTCGCAGCCAACCACGCGCGTCAAAGCAGCTATGACTCCGTCGCCAGACTCGACTGCAGAGTCGAGCCCGATCCAACTTCCACCATCTGCCGCTTCTCGTGACTTGACCACAGAATTGAAGAGAAAGAGATATCAATATCCGACCTCCGATGGAGTGGGTGACAAATAGCCTGCTATCCTTGAACCTGTTGCTGATTTCCATTCTAGGATCCCTATTTGTATGTACCGGAGAGTTTTCTTCACAATCCACCTTGGGTTGCAGAGCTCGCCCTTCGGTGCGACAGACCATTTCCAGAAAATAGACCAAGACAACTTTCTCCATTCTACCCTGGTCTTCGAACTGAGAGACACGAGAGATCAACGTCGATGACAGGAACTATGAGTGAAAGCGAACCTGACGGCGGAGCTTTCTTGTATCCGGAGCACACCGAGGTGGGCTTTCCCTGCCCATGTAGCTCAAGCGATCGATGCAAAGGCTAACAACGAATAGGACCAAGTGGAGGCTTCTTCTCGGAACCTGGACAGGTTCGAAACATCGTCTGATATGTGGCCAGCAGAACAGTCCGCACCGATTACGCCGTCTCCGTCATCTGTTCCGCTACCCTTGTCCATTCGTCCCTCAGCAAGAACCTATGACAGATTGCATGCCGATGAGTCTGGGCCATGCCCTTTTGCAAATGAGCTAGGGTCATTAAACCTGGGCGACACACGTACTGAACAAAATGAGTTCGAAAAGAGCCCCAAGGCTATTGAGCATAGCCTGGAAAACAATTATGCTGGCTCAGGAGGCATTTTGCCTCAGATTTTGCGTGATACAGAGGAAGAAAAGCTAGCCAGAGCTGCTGAGGTCCTAAAAAGATTCATTCATCGAAAGGCCAGCGGTTCAAACTCCTTGCAGGATCCGACTATCGACACCGAAGGCCACTCTGCCCGTGAGCATACAACAAGAATTCCTCGGTTGAAGCGTCTCCAGGGCCAAAGCTCAGAGCAGGAAATGGAGGCCTTGACTAAACCTCCGTTGGATCGAGGAAGATCGGCGACAATCGAAAGCAAATGGTCTGCAGGAAGCGAAATCTCCCAGGACAGCGGTTCGGGCGAAACCCTGCGGACAGCGATTTCCACAGACCCTACTGAAGGTATGGATGAGGACGAACGGATGTGCAAGGGCATTGTTTGACTATGAAGGATATCAAGTCGAGTGGCATGCCTGCTTTGAGAAACTACAGGTATCCGCAAGACGAAGTATATCTTATTGGCAAGGACCTTCATTTTGGAATCGAATGGCAATGGTCAAGCCTAAGCATGAGGTACATTGCATCAGGATAGCATGATATGTGAATAGAGAGCACTTGAATCATCCGGTGGCATCTGATCAAGGATGCATTTTCTGTCAGGGTGGACCTGATTCACTAACACCCATCTTGTTGGCGGCCTCTCTAGCGGCTCTATGTTTACTCACGCTGCCCTCCATACCGTGACGAATAGCCTCGATGTCTCCCGGAATTATCATCTCGAACGTGTCCCGAATGACGGCGTAGTCATAATAGCCGCATCTTGCAATGGGTTGTGTCTTTGCGACATCGATTTTGCCATCAGCCGTCAAAACCCGGTCGTCGATATGAATACCGACGACCTTGCCGATGACGATATCGACGGTGCCCATTGGCGGATTGCAGGGCAGGCGCAGCGTGGAGTGGTACTCACACTCGAAGCGGACGGGCGAGGCCTTGACCATGGGCACGGGAGTCTTGAGCACGGTTGACCAGACCTTTTCGAGGGCGGCGCGTTCAAATTCGTCGACGCCGTAGGGGACCTGCTCTGCGGAGACGTTGACGGCCTCGCGCAGCTCCCACGTCGCGAGTTGCCAGCAAAACACGCCCGTGGCCTCGACGTTGCGCACCGTGTCCTTGTGCTGGCTCGAGGGTGTCTGGTTCGCCGAGAACATGACCATCGGTGGGTCGAAGGTCAGGTTGTTGAACTGGCTGAACGGCGCGAGGTTGGCTGTTCGGCGGGGTTCTGTCGTCGTAGAGGGGGATAATAGTGAGGCTGGCCTTGTTGTGGTCGATGTCGATGGTGTGGACTCTGATTCTGGCCCCTCTTGGGGAGGCGAGATGGTGCTGATCCAGCCTATTGGGCGGGGAATGACGCATGCCTGTTGTCTTCATCCCGTCCCCTTGGGGATACAAGTGTGAGAAAATGCTGAGGTGAAATAGCAAAATGGCGACGAGTATACATAGACAGAGAAAATGGGCAGTATGTCAAGACTACCTAGTATCCTACATACCAGCCTTGTTTGGTAGGTAGGTACCTAGGTATGTACCTAGGTAACTAGACGGATGGAAATACGAATGATGACGGAGAGCGCGTGTCGCGCCAACAGGGAGTAATTGACTGTGAACGTGGCTGACTGAAGAGACTGAGGTGACTGACCTTGAACGGATCATATGGCAGATTATGCTCTGTCTTGCCTGGTTCGTAGAACATCTTTTCCGGTGTGGTTCTCCGTTGCAGCAGCGGTTCGAATTGGAATGTAATGTATTTGTAAAGAATACCACCACGGTAGGGTGTGTGCAAGGTGCTTCGCAAGGTCCGGGTGACTCGACGAGTACCTAAAAGTGGCACACGAATATAGGTTAATCCATGAATATACCTGTATAAAATACAGACCTACAAATAGGTATAATATATGCCATACATATATCTACCGCCCGGGGCCCCGGAGGAGTGGGGGTTGCCTTAATATTCAATGCTTGTAACTCGGTACTCCATACCCCAACGCAACCTCCAGACTGCGGACATGACGAATGATCATTCTGGGCACGAACCGGATCGGGGATCTGCCAAAGTAGGCCGACGAGTCGGAGAATTGGGACGAGACAAAGAGGGCTGACCGAGCTACTGCACTCGGAATAGTAGGGTCGCGAAGCTCAATGGAAAAGATTTATTGGGGTTTCCGAGATGCCAGTGCGGAATGGATGCTTTTCCTTTTCCTTTGTACGGGAATCTAGAGAAGTAATAGATGCGTCAATAGTGGTGATATTACAAAGCATAAATAGATCCCGGCCCGCCATCAAAATGCGACCCACTCTGCGCTTATCGACTGTGCAAGCACTTTCAATTGTCCTCGTCCCTATTGGGGATCGTCTTGCAAAAGCCGTCTCTGGCTTCCCTACCTTGCATCCTCTCCAGATCGCGTGGCTTGCGTAGCTTGCGTCTGTCTCTTCCGTCTCCTTTCAGTGCCTTCTCATCCCGAATGGCTGCACTTTTGCGGTGCGGGTATTGCTCCAGCTCACGATGTTGAACCGAAACTGCCCAACAATCATCTGCTTGAATGCTTCGCGAGAGCTCCTCCGCAAAAGTGACACTGCGATGTTTGCCACGTTCACACATGATACCGACAACAAGAGTGGACGGCGCCGCAGACGACGAAGGTGAATCTGCGCTTATGTCGATCCCTTGGCGGGCAAGTTGCATCTCACCCATCTTCTTCCGCACGGCCTCGAGAATCAAACTCAATCTTGCAGCTGCGCCGCGGTTGGCCATGACTTCCTTACGCAGATGAGAGGACAATCCCGTGTGCGTCTTCCAGAGTTGGGCAGGAGGATTTTTCATGTCCCTCACAGAAAAGGTAAGCTGCTCGACGGTGCCTGGCTCTAAGAGGGTGAGGGGACCGTGGGCATGACCATAGGAGATGATGATGAGCTCGAACTTCGACACGGTCTTTGCCGCGGCTTCAGACATCTCTGGTCTGCAAATCGGCTCATGGTGGTCGAAATCTTCCATGACTGACGCTGTTAATGGAATACGCTGCGCCTTGGACTCCTCACAGTGTAAGAGAAGGCATTTTGCAATCGCGGCTGTGACCGGGCCGTCTCCTGAGGTAGCTTCACCTCAGATATCGATCACTGCACGTGGCGCCTAGATCTCTTCTGTGATGGCGGGCAAATAATGGCCACGGCCATAGAGGGACCAACACCATGGCAGTGAACAGCCTCTCGAGCGAGACAAGATTGTGTCACGGTTCAATTTGCTTGGCAAATCACGTGACTACGGCCCTTTGGCATCGCTGACTGATTCTTACGCAATCAACCCCGCGGAAGGTTTTCCGATTCTAACCAACCACCAACCGGCTTTTCTTCGATGTTCTTCCTGCGCCGCGGCGTTGCAACAAAACAAATGCTATTCAAGCTCTTCATAAGCTGCAAGTTGCTTGTCCAATGCTGATGGTGGGATCGTCCTTGCCATTTCTAGCATATTCGACTGTCTACGGTATCTTGAAGGTATAAGTAACTTCCTTTTCCTTTCCATGAAGCAAATCCACTCTTTTTTGACCACAACCGCGACCACAACCATATACAGCAGTAAACTGGCTTTGACCAAGACATTTCTTCGACAAGCCAGACCTATATTCAGCGACATCACTCGTCCCATAAAACCAACAGCAACTAAATCCACAATAACACCTCTTATTCCCACTCGCTTCGCTTCAACCACAACAGCAAATATGACAACCCCTCGGCAGATCAAGTTCTCGTTCCTCGCTCGCGAACAACCAGAAGGTGCGGGCGCTGTGGTACGACGCTCAGTCGGCACCCCTAAACTGCGCCATTTCACCCCTTTCCTCATGCTCGACCACTTCAACATATCTCCTGGTGCAGGCTTCCCCGATCACCCTCACAGAGGACAGGAGACAATCACATACCTCCTCAAAGGTGGCGTTAACCATGAAGACTTCGCTGGCCACGCAGGAAGAATTGGACCTGGCGATCTGCAATTCATGACTGCAGGTCGCGGAATAGTCCACGCGGAGATGCCTGTACAAACCGAAGATGTCAGCGTCGGCATGCAACTTTGGGTCGACCTCCCCGAAAACCTCAAATCCTGCGAACCCCGGTACCGCGATTTACGTGCAGAGGAGATCCCAATCGCAAAGACCGACGACGGAAAGGTCGAGGTGAAGGTCATATCGGGCCAAAGCCTAGGCGTCGAGTCTTTGAAGGATCTCGCATACACGCCCGTATGGCTTCTTGACATCACAGTTCACCCCGGTGGAAAGATTACGCAGGAGCTCCCACAGGGATGGAACGCGTTTGCCTACACGTTGGAAGGCGCCGTGACATTCTCCAATGGCCCCGACGTACACAAAGCTGAGACAATCACACCCTACCACAACGTCGTCTTCGAACAAGGCGGCGACGTGGTGACCGCTTCAGTCGAAGAAGGGGCATCGGAAAGTGCACGATTCATCCTCGTCGCCGGCCAGCCCTTGGACCAGAACATTGTCCAGTATGGCCCGTTTGTGACCACATCCAAAGAAGCCATTTATCAAGCCATGATGGATTATCAAACTTCGACCAACGGGTTTGAGAGAGCAGCAAATTGGGAGAGTCAAATTGGAAAGACTATGGGTCGCGTCAGATAAAGAGAATACGGACGGGGAAAATGTTTTAATGAGCGCAAAAGACTCTCGGAAGTGACATGGGTTCTTCTTATTTTGGTTCTTTTGGCTAAAGATGTCTTGTGTAGTACAGCAGAGCATAGCGTTGGTGTTCCCAGCACGCATGGAAAATACCCGAGAAGAATCCGGGGCAGGCATATAATGGCGTTTACGTTGATAGAATACTAGTACCTGCAGTACATAGGTAGATATCTCACGGCACAATCCTCACTGAGAACTGGACATGAGCCTAATCACTCTTTCTTTTTGAAAAAAAAAAAGAGACAAATGTTCTGTGATATCCCTCCCCCTACGGGAGCGAGAGCGAGGTTTTTTACTGTTTCTAACTTTTCGAGACAGCTTCAGCTGCGCCTCGTGTCTATCGTGGAGGATAGCTGGTCTCTGTTTCCATCCGATCCGCCCATTCGTCCATCCATCCTCCCATGCACCTTTTTTCCTGGTAGCATTCATTGTAGTGTGTGTGTGTGTGTCCTGAACGTACTATCAAGTACAGCGACCGCATTCCTCTCTCCGCCCCTCCACCGTTCCGTTTGTCAGGCGTATTTCCCCACCTCGAAGAGTATCTCTCGCGGTGCTCCTCGGGCCAGGGCGGTGAGGACGGACGTCAAAAGGTACAAAGCCTACCAACCAGCAAAGTGCGTGCGGGCAGATAGATGGACGGGATAGGACGTTGTGGTATTCCCAGCAAGCACGTCACAGTTAACCCCCCCAGCGGTTGCAGTCATGTCATGTCATGCCCTTTTTTTATTCCTCTGCTTCCTCCCCAGCGGCGTCCGTCTCGGCGACCGTGCCGGTCATTCCGTCGTCCTCGTCCTCGAACGTGTGCAGGGGCACCTCGTACAGCCTGATGACGGGCTTGTTCGGGTCCTTGATCAAGACGTACTTCCTGTCCTTTGCGGGAGTCGCTTCCTCCTTGCCTTCTTCCTCCTCGTCGGCGGCGTCGGACATGCTCCTGACGAGGTCGACGATGGTGCGGACGATGCCCCACCCGTTGGAGAAGCCCAGGTTCATCTGGCTGGCGAATTCGCGCGGCTTGTAGCCGACAACGCCCAGGATGACGTGGTTCGCCGCGCTCTTCGGGTTGGCTCTCGACACGAAGCCGAGCTTCATCTGATCGGCTTTGGCGAGGATCGCCTGCGTCGTCCATCTTGCCAGTTTGCAGCTGTTGTTCTTCATCTCGGTGGCGACCACGGCACCCCGCTGGGAGGTGAGTTTTGTGCGCCAGTCCAGGGCGCCGCCGCTGCCTTGGGCCTTGTGGTCGAACTCGTTGAGTGCTTTGAGGGTGAGGAACTGATCCTCCCCTGAGATGTTGTTCTTGATGGCGGCGTCGAGTTCGGTCCGCACAATCAAGTTCAAAGGTTCTTCGTCCCGCTCCAGAGAGAGGTCGAAGCGGCGGTATTTATATGCCTTTGAGGCCAGCGGGTCGGTCTCTTCGGAAGCGCTGTAGAATGGGTTGGGGTGAGGGAATTCGACTTTGCTGTTGGGGTTTTCGATCACGGTCTGGAAAGCAAAGTTGTGGTTGATCATGGTGGCTTCCATGGCGAGGTTGGACGGGGTGTTGATGCTGTCTGGCTTGACCCCGGTCTGCTGTTGGGATGGTGTGCTTGAGGTGTCTGCTTCGAGGGGTGCATCGGCAGCATTTTCATTGACCGTGACAAGGTCGATTGAACTGTCAGGTCGCTTGTCGAGGAAGATTTTATCACCGTGCTTCAAGATCACTATATCCCAGCTATACACGGATCGAGTCGCGCACATCAGCATGGAGAGGATATCTGAGGTGGCAAAGATGGTGGCTTCATCTTTCTCTGCCAACTCTTGGATGACCGGATCGGCAGAAGTGGTAACGTTGTAGGCGGCTCTTTCAAGGGACAGGAGTTTGCGTTCCGTGTTCTTCACGGGAGCTTTGTCGTAAGATCGGTCATAATAGTAAAGAAATCCGTAGCTGTCGATATCTTCTCCGTCAGGAGTCTCGAGGTTGAGTTTTGCAAGTCGATTAAAGTCGATCTCCTCCTTCATGATCCAATCGGGACGGATGTTGACTGAAGCGTCACGGTTTCGCTGCGGCTTGTCGTAGTCTCGCCACCCGAATCGACGGCCCCTGCCACCTCGACCTCCCCTCTGATCGAAGAACTGCCCTTGTTGTTGACCTCCTGTGCGACCTTGGCCAACTCTTTGGAATGCTCCTCTTGCTCCACGCTGGGCAGCTCCTCGCTGACCTCGACCACGGAAGACTGTTACTCCGCCCCGACCAAAGCCCCGACCTTTTGCGGTCGTTCTGGTGTTGTCGACGACGGAGAAGGTGGCCTCATCTTCCGCAGCTTGTACAGCGAACAGCGAGGATGTACCGGCGCCATAGATTTGTTGGTCTAGATACACCTTGTTAGTTTTCACCCCCAAATTTTGGATGTAGAAATTCACCTCTGTAATTTCTTCCGTACTGTCTGCCGCCTCGATCTCGACCTTCCTTGCCTTCTTGTGTCCAGTCGGCCATACGACCTAGTTTGTCACTTTTAGAGTATGGGGCATATGGCACGCCATCGAGGGTCGTGGTGGTGGAAAGCGCGGGACCCCATTCGTCGTTGACGCTGATCGCACTGATTGTTTCTGCGAGACTTATTTCGGACATGTTGGATGCTGGACAGGGACCAGGAGTCAAGTGTCTAAATTTGTTCACAGACAAATGTTTCGAGGGCGGCGCAGGCATAGAGAATAGTGGGGTGGAAATGCGAGCGCCAAGCAAGGAAATCTGTTCGTCGCACCGCATTCGGAGTCGGAATTATTGTGACGCCGCCCTGTAGGGAGTCTCACGGGTGGATCGATGACTGAGCATTTCAACCAATGGCTGTGCTTAATCTTTGATGTTAATCAGTGCTGTTAAGGGCAGCGCAGTATGCCCAGCCTTGTGCATGACGAATTCCAACGGCGTTTACTGATCTCCGTGTCTCCTCAACACACCTCTCTTACTGTCCTTGCTGGTCACCCGCCTTCTGTATCCGGTTATTTTTTCAATCATTCGCAGAATAAGACGGGATGCACCTCGACCGCAGCATGTTGAAACAATTTCTCGTTTCCAAAGGTCGCTTGGAAAGCACCCTGTCCTCCCGAAACAGAACGCACTTGAAGGAACGAGGCCACCCATTTATATTCATGGTGAAGGCTACTCCCGTCAGGCTTGCTAGATCTCGACCCAATGCAGGAAGACACCTTGATGCTATGATACGCTGAGAGCACACGACCATGATCAACTTAACCGCCATGGGTTTTTCCTTTTGCTTCGGGTCCCGAATTCCAGCTTACTTGGTGCCAATGTGGGGTTTCCAAGTCA